AATAAACGAACCTTTTAAAAATTAAAGGAATGCAAAAATATCCAGCAAGCAACAAAGTAAAAGTCACCCTATCTACGGTCACCAGATTATAAAGTACAGAAAGAAAAAATTATAACCCATAATGAGAAGATCCATCAAAGTCAACTCAGAACTGGCACAAATGATAGAATTAGCAGACAAGAACATTGAATCAGTGATGATTCTCCTATATGTTACATGCATAAAAGAATTGAAATTGAACTTCAGAGACAAGAGCTACAAAGATTTAGTGGGAAATACACTGCAGAGGATCACCAGCAGATAATGTACAAGATTAGCCTGAAATCATGCTAACACAAGCGTTTCAAAACGACATCCACAGAGACCAGGGAAATTTAACAAAAGAAAAGGTGGGCAAATGTGGGGCTCAAGGGCAAAGGGGTCACTAATTCAACAAGATGGTGACTAACAGTCAAGGTCACTGGCAAACAACATGGCAGCCAAGGGCAGAGCCCTGAGCGTGAACCAGGGCGGTGGTCAAGTTGTTTCAGCAAAGACTGATTGGCCAGGGCCGACTGGCTCACCTGCTCTTGGCCTGTGGGAGGTGGCTTCCGAGTCGTGCAGGTGACAGTTGGCTCCTAGTTCTCCCCTCCTGGAATTCCTGGGATTCCTGGTCTGATCGGAACTGCTTAGACAGACCCCTGTGTGTGTCTCTCGCACTCGATGGCGGACAGCAGGCTCACCACCTCCAGCTACGGGGTACTAGAGGAATCTGTGGGGGAGACCCCGCAGCCAATCACCTATCCTAGCAGTTACATCACTAACCATGATGGCCACAGCCTGTATCAATGCCCCTGGGCTCAAGTCCTGACTCCACTCTCAAGTCCACCTTCCTGCTAATCCACATGCTGGAAGGTAGCAGGTGACAGACAATCCAGGCTTAGTCTGTCAGCCAGCTGGGAGATGCGGACTGAATTCCCAGCTCCCAGCTCTGAGCTGGCCCAACTCCTACAATTACGAGAATTTGGGAAGTGAACAAGTCTCTCTCAGATTTTGTAAACAAGATGGTAAGGAGGGAGGGAGGGGGAAAAATCATGTTGTGGGGCAACCATAAACAAATCAAAAAGAAGTACTTGGCTCTCCCTGTCTCTACCTGTTACTCTACCCTTCAATTAAAGATTTTAAAAACCCATATGCAATGTATGCCCCAGAAGAAAATAACAAGAGACAAGGAGAGGGTAACTGCCTGGAGAGACACTCATCAAATGTTTTCTAAACCTGATGCAAACCCAAAGCCCACAGACCCGAGAAAGTGAAACCAGGGCACAAGAAATGCCAAGAACCTCACACCAAAGCACACAACCACCAAGTGTCTCAGAGCCCGTCGTAACGAGAACATCTGGAAACCCTCAGAGCCCGTAGGCACGGCTGGTGCAGGAACAATAGAAGAACAACGCCTGAAAAATGTCACCCCGGCACTGCACACGAGGGAGGGCATTTCCTGTGAGCAGACTCCCGTTAAATGTCCCGCAATCCCCTCCAGACAGAAACGTGCAGCTCACAGGAGAACAGCGCTGAGAGGGACACCTGTCATAGCAGAGACAACGTATTTTTTTCTTACTTATGTGTCTTAGAAACAATAGAGAGATGCGGCTGACACTGTGGCTCAACAGACTAATCCTCTGCCTGCAAGCGACAGCATCCCATATGGGCACCAGTTCATGTTCTAGCTGCTCCACTTCTGATCCATCCAGCTCCCCACTTGTGGCCTGGGAAAGCAACGGATGACGGTCCAAATCCCTGGTTCCTGAACCCATGTGGGAGACCCAGAAGAAGCTCCTGGTTTCACATCAGCTCGGCTCTAGCCATTATGGCCAACTGGGGAGTGAACCAGCAGATGAAAGATCTTTGTCTCTCCTGCTCCTTATAAATATGCCTTCCCAATTAAAATAAATAGTAATAATGAGATTGCTAACATGTATGAGACTTCCCTGGAGTGTCATCACCGCTTTCAGGACTGAAGACAGGGATGACGTCTGTGCGACCTGTGCATGTTTACACTTTGATGTGGTGAATTTTATTGTATGTGAATTATCTTAGTAAAGTAACTTATTAATTTCCTTACTAAATAAAACTAGTAACTTCATAATAGGATTTGTGATTTATTTAAAAAGATGCATGGCACTATTAGACACTAATTCTCCTGATTAATCTATAGACTCAATGCATTCCTACTCCAAATTTTCTATTTTTGTGGTAAATGACAAGCACACTCTACAATTCACATGGAAATGCAAATTACTAAAACTGTGGAAAAATCACCAAAACACACACACACACAAAAAAAGGATGAGCATAGTCACTCAAGTGGCAAAGCAAGGGGGTTAGAAACTTTGTTAGGATGCTCTTAGAGGTGCAAGTTATCCTCCTAACACCACCGCTACACAGCGCTCGAAGGCCAGGACACACACAGGACGCCACAGCTCCCACACCCACCAAGAACAGGAAGTAATTCAACTGCCCATCAGAGTTGCTGGAGAGAAGGCGTGCTCATTTTGCAGTGGGAACACAAGCAGTAAAGAAGAACGGCCTGGATAAACTGCACGATACGCTATTGACTGAGAGGGACTTGATACACCTTGCAGATAACTGCACAGGCATGGAAACCGGGCAGAATTTATCCATGACGATTATGGATGTCTGTCAAGATGGGGAATAAAAGCACTAAGCACCGGTTAGCATGAGAGGAGAGGAGATGGCTTTGGCTAGCAGCAGGTCCTAGGGCCACTGATAAGGCAGCAGCAACAGTCACCCTCAGTCTAGGGAACGGGTACATGGTATGAACTTTCTACCAATTCATTATGTTCTCACACTTACAGCTTCAGCACATTTTCCCAAGTGCGACATATTCAAAAACAGTCATTTGGTTTTGAGTCTGATTTCATTCAAGAAACCATGTAACATTTTACCCTAATTCTCTACCACTTAGATCTTTAGACAATGATCATCTACCACAACTTAACAACAATTTAAACGCACTGAGAGATGACACCGACTGGGGCCTTGGGAAATGAACAGAAGCAGATCACGAGCAGCCAATGGCAGTTTGCCCTTGGAGTCGCAGCCACAGCCTCTGGAAGTGCGTGGAAAGAACACACAGCTCTCCAGCCAGCTTCTGTACTCAACCCAGACGCAACCTGCTCTATCCAGGAGCATAATGCAAATACAAGGAATGAAACTGATTGTCATTTAATCAAACATACAGGGAAAAAATCCAGTATGCTACATTCCCTTCCAGGTACTCATCTCGGGCAGTCGGGCACCTCTTCCAATGAAGCTTTCATGAATGCCACACTCTGGGCATGCCTCGCGGAGAACTGCGTGCAGCCCCCGTGGCACTCTGTGATGACCTGCAGGGTGGTAAATCCACTCTCGGGGAGAAGCACCCAGCTCTGTGCCCAGGAAACAGCACAGATAAAGCACGCACACAGAGAACAGCACCCAACTCAGGTTACAGGTGACAGGGCAAGACTGGCTGGACACTCACTGACCAGCCAGAGGACCGTGGGGACACCGCCTCCTGCTTTCCAAGCTGAAGTGCCTTTCTGCCCGGCCTGCCCCACTTCCCCGCCTGAACTACAGCTGCTCAGGCTCGCCTCCCGGAGGCTGGGAAACACCTGAATTGCCAGCGTGTTGTCTGACAAGTCTAGTCAACAAAATTACGAGATGTGCAAAGAAACACTCAAAGGAAAGCCAGATGGTAGATTTCACAGAGAACGTCAGAGTTCTTGGTTCTTACCAAAGTGTCTACAGGACAAAAGGGCAGCGTGCTTTAAGGTAGAAGGAATGTGCAATCACAATAAACCCACAATCCCTTGATATTTACAACCAGGAGACAGCAATTACACAGAGGAACCAAATACAAATCCCGGAGTTGAAAAGAACAGCGAGAAAACGAAAATTGCACTGGAAAGCTCAAACCCACATCTTAAATGGCACAAGAATTCTCAAACACAGAAATAGACCCACCCAAATAACCTCAAACATTGGGAATGGGGGATAAAATAAAAGTAAAACTGGACAGATCCTCAAAGCACAAATACATACATGAACTCTTTTTAAAAACTTCCTGGAAATGTGTATGATGAATTCCAAAAATTTTTTCACCAAAATAAATAATTTTAATACCATTGTCCATGAACTTTTGGAAATAGCCTCAGACAATGAGATTAATAAGAGGAAAGATAAAAAGAAAAAAAAAATAGGAAACACTCTCAATAGTGATAAGTTCTTCACCTGGGTGAAAAACATTGATTTAGAAGTCGTGCAAACTCAAAATACACAAGCTACAAACAGATCTATACTTAGACATATAATTAACCTTTTAAAACCAAGGAAGATGAAAAGAAAATCTTGATCAACAGCAACAGAAGACATTAAAGGGAGTCATGATACGGTTAGCGGCTAACTTCTCAGCCATCTCGGAAACTGAAACGCAAGCGCGTTACCGAGTGGGCAGCTCCGGGGGTCCCGGCCCGCGCCCGGGCGCACGCGCAGGTGGAGCAGTTTCGCTGTCCTGCCGGCATCGTGGTGTTTCCAACAGGTGTGTGCCTCGGGGGAGAGAGCCCCGGGGAAGAGGCACGTGGACCGAGGAGACGGATTTCTCACCTGTGGTGAACTCGCAGTCAGCGGCTTTTGTATTTGTTTGCCTCATTATTTGGAACTGCAAATTTCCTAGTTGGTATTTCACTTATTTCCTTAAAAGCTGAGAATGCACTCTGCGCCACTCCCACTCCATCCCCCTACCTCCCACCCCCACCTGGGAAAAAAAGCCGCAAAACTGTGAGCAGCTTCCAAGGCTCCCACCGCGGCCCAAGGGACGGTCCTCACCAGGGATCTGTGGCCTGGCCTCCCGGGCGCCCGTGGAGCACCTCCACGCCCGGCCACCTCCAGCCAGGCCCCGGGCCGTCACTGGGCCCCACACAACTCCCAGGGAGCGGCCTGGACACGGCCCCACTGACCTTCACACAGGCCTCCCGCCTGCCTCTCCAAGCAGCATTCGCCTTAGGACACTGTAAGTTCCTCGGAGAGTCACTGTCCCAGCCTCCTGGGGGTCTTCCAGTCCCTGAAGGACTCTGCTGCTCTTCCGGGAAGAAGGCGCCTGGGGAGAGGCGGAGCCTAGATGGGAACCGCACCAATCAGCAGCAGAAACGCCTGCGGCCCCTGACCCAGCACAAGTGCCCGCAGGTGGGTGCTTCTCCACGTGCTCACCTCCGAGCTGGAAATCTCTGGCACCTGCGAGGCGCTTAGGTCACCTCCCCCACACACCCTCTGGAAGAGAACCTGCTGGAAAAAAATACGCACACTGGCTTTCCGTGTCACCCCACGGGGCCAGGCTGCGAAAACAAGAAGCGGACTGCAGCTTTGCAAACGGGACACTCTGCAAAGGGAACCTGCTACTGCGGGTCAGGGAAAAGAGATTTGCAAGCCTTGATTCTGATACAGGGCTGATATTCCAAGCTTATAGAGAAAGGCAAAGGACCGAGGTAGATGTTACGTGGACAAGAGGCATAAAACAGCCAACGGGGATATGGCGATGTGCTCAGCCTCGTTAATCATCCCAGAAACACAACTCAGAACCTCCGGGAGCCCTGCCCGCCCACTAGAGGGGCTGTTATCCGAAAGTCGAGACACGTGCTGGCAAGGCCATGGACAAAGGGATCCTCGTACGGCTGACGGAATGGAATATGGTATCTGATGGTGGCCACGGTGGCCGGAGAAGGGTGGAGTTTGCCTCCAACCAAACCCGGAACGGGTGGCGCAATTCTGGCGGGGCCCCTTCAGGCTGTGAGACCACCGTTGCACCAATGAGGGGCACAGACCCATTTCCCCCATCAGTAAGGGCCGGGCGACCCCCATCTCTGTTTCCATGTCAAGGAGAGTTTTGAAAAGCCCCCTCCCCGTCTCTTCCACGCTCTTCTTCCTCTGCAGCTCACTCTCTCACGTCTGTCACGGGGAAGGGAAGCCCGTGGCCGTGGCTCCCTGAAATAAAGGCCATCTAAATTCTTTTCATATATTTGGCTGAGTTATTCTTTCCCTGGTGGTCGGCGAATGTAACATTTTGGTGAGCGGCGAATCTAATGACATTGAGGATCTCAAACCAATTCAAACCAGAGCTACCAGCAATCGCTCTTCTGAGTATATAACCACAGGAAGTGGAATCACATCTTGTAAAGACGTGTGCGCGCCCATGGTCATTACAGCCCCGTTGGTAATAGCGACACGTGGAGAATCACGGTATCCTTCAACGGCGACAAAGGGATGCAGGACTGAGCTGATAGCAGAGAGACGTCAGCAGAATATTGTTCAGCGCTACTGCCATTTGCCATGGCACGCATGGGTGACCCTGGGGGACATGACATTAAATGAAGTAAGGCAGGCACAGAAAGACAAATGTGACTTGCTCTCCTTTCTAAAGCAATGCAAAGTCAAACACACGGAGAGAGAACAAAGGGGTGCTTTCCGGGGCAGGCGGTCGGGGTGGGTGGGCTGGGATGTGGGGAGGAGCAGGGCAGAAGCTGCAGGGCAGAAGCTGCAGTGCAGCCCGGATGAAGGATGTATGAGTGTGGAGGCTGAGCCAACGGCAGGAGGAACACTGGGGATCCAATCGCACTGTTGGGGGGCGGGGGTCGTATCAAATGAGATGTTAGCCATTCCTGCCATCAAAACAACAAAAACTGGAGCGGTAACTACGTGAGACAATGACAATTAACTTACTTCAACCGCGCTGATATTGTAAGTATTCCATGCTGTGTATCTCCAATACGCACAATAAGCTTTTCTTTAGATTCCCTACTGCAATCGTGTTGATACAGCTTTCCTGCTCACACACAGCTAGTCCCTCAATATCAAGAGATGTGTATTTGGGGCACAAATCATTTCCGTTGATACCCTCTCCCTCTGCTCCCCTCCCTCCCTGTCTCTCCTTCTCTCTCTCTCTCTCAGTACATCTCTGGGTTTGTCCTTACATGCTTATTGATATGATTATTTGATTCAACCATCTCCCCACTGGTGAAGAGATGTTTTACCTTTTATGAAACAACAACAAAAATCCTCTTTTCTCCCTCGTATATTCTAAAGCAAAACAAAAGCTTTCCAGGCTCACCTGCTTTTCCCTCTGCTGGGTTACACCACGCGGTCAACAGAGGAGTGACCTGACTCAAATTACTTCAATGCCCCCTTTTCTAAGGACAATCGCTCCATCAGAGGACCAGCTGCAAGCTTTCTCCACACTGCCAGGCAGGCCTAACCCACGATCCGTTATCCTCCTGAGCGGGAACAAGACCCCTTACCTCCTCGCCCAGGTGAGCTGCTGACTCACGGGATCATCCATCCCTGTAGCTGGCTTAATCCTCCCCATTCAAGTGCCAGGATCCCATGTGGTTAGCAGTTTGTGACCCGCCTGCTCCACTTCCCTTCCAGCTCCCTGTTTGCGACTGGGGAAAGCAGTGGAGGACAGCCTACACTCATGTGGGAGACCAGGAAGAAGCTCCTGGACCCTGGCTTTGGATTGGCTCAGCTCCGATCGTTGCAGCCACTTGGGGAATGAACCAGTAGATGGAAGATCCTTCTCTCTGCATATGTCTGTCATTACAATAAAGTCTAATAAATCTTTGGAAAAAACATGCCTATGACTTAATTTCACCCACAGACTGTTAAAAACACAGCTAGGAAGAAGAGAAAAAATGCAAGGCAGAAAGGCCAGAGCAGAATGCTGGGAGGGCAAGCATGGGGCCTGAGCTCCTCTGGCTTTCCCATGGCCATGATGACATTGCGGCATGTCTGTTTCCCTCCTGGTTATGGAAAGCAAATCATGTCCAAATTCCATTCCTTTCTTTGACTAAAGAACCCAGTGCCTTGGGTGAGTGTGCAGCCAACCGACAGAGGCGGAAGAGTCTATTGCTCGGGTTGATGAGGCCATGGGCTTAGAGCACATGTGGAAATGACACAGGCCCTTCCACAGGAGTGGGCATTCTCAGCAAAGCAGGCCACATCCGCACGGCAGGGCAGCAGCCTTGACCCCAGCGATGGAGAGTCACTTGCCTTCCCACACCTCAAATGTGCGTGGCTGGGACAGAGTCTACAGGTGCGGGGAGCCAAGTTGTCATTGTTCAAGTCTTGCTTGCTCACAGCACAGTTCTTCCTCGTAGATGAATGCTCTTTCTGAAAACCTTCAAAAAATATTTACATCATCGAAGCTCCTTATTAACTATGTGTCTTCATACTTAGTTCAAGTGCTGTGAAACAGAGTAAGAATGCTGCTAAAATCACACTGACAAAGGCTGGGGTAGGCACTTGGCTCAGGGGTAAGATGTGGCCTGAGACACCCCGCATCCCATGTCAGAGTGCCGTGTTCAAGGCCAGGCTCCTCCTGGATGCATGCTCCTATTGGCGTGCAGGCGATAGCTTGAGTCCCTGGTTCCTGCCTCGGCTTTGAGCACCAGGAAACAGAGCTTTTTCTGCTTCTTGGTCTCTCTCACTTTTCACTCTGTGTCTCAAAAATAAAAAATATGTTGTTGTTAATTTGGTTTTAAAAGGGAAAAGAAAGAAGAAGAAGGGCTGGCATCTGGCCTTGGAACACCAGTACAGGTCCTGCCCACACCAGCTTCCTGATGGCATGCCAGGGAAGGCAGTGGAAGACAGCTCAAGTACTCAGGCCTCTGTCGCCCATGTGGGAGAGCCCGGTGCAGAAGCCTGCTCTGGGCCGCAGGTGGCTTCAGATGGAACCTGCTGGGAGGTGATCCAGTAAACCAGAGATCTCTCTATGAATTTCTCCGTTGTCCCTCCCTTTCTCTGTCACTCTGCCTTTCAAATAAATAAATCAGTCTTTTTAAAAGAAAGAAAAATAAAACTACACTTAGAAAAAGTTTAAAATATGAAGGTAAGCCTGAGTTGAAACAAATATCTACAAGGTGACAAAATAAAAGCGATTGTACATAACAACAACCCATCACTAGCATCTAGATTCACTCACTTGTGTTACCAGTAACATAAAAATTAGTGGGATGAATTTAAAAAATAAGATTAGCGGGATGAGGAGGAAAAGGATGGGGCATATGGAAGGTAAAGTAGGGGAAAGCCTGCTTGAGTCCCCTCGGTCCCCGGGCTAGGCCGGGACGCACAACGCGTGGGGCCCTGGTGCTTCAGGAAATGGCCGGGGAGCTTTGAAAAGCGGAAGAGAAAAATGAGCAAGAGAGAAGACAAACACTTTGCCACCTCCACAATTTTGCCCCAGGCTCTCTTTTTCACTAAATCCCATCACAACAGCTATCATAAATAACATCGGATTATTTCCTCAAGCTCTCCAGGTACAATCAAGAATAGGCAGAGAGTCATAAAAACAGTATTGAGCATACAAGGGAAGGGACACTCTGTGAAGGAATGCTGCCTGAGGACTGAGGCTACATCAGTTAAAGGATTTTCAACTTCAATGATAAAAAAAAGAAAATGCAATCCTGTTATTTAAACCACCCAGGCAGTCATATTTTACCATGTCTGCCCAAGATGATTCATATAGCTACCTGTCTTTGTTGAAATGCGCAGAGAGGGAACCAAATTACCCAATCCCTATAAATTCAAGATTGCTGCGCACTGTCTAGGGCGGGGGCTGTGCAGCTGAGCCGACTGAGCAGGGCAGCCTGGTCAGGCCCCACATTTCCCAAAGCCCACAGGACGCCTCGGCATCCTCTGGGCGCCCATGCACACGAAATGCGGCATGATTGACATTCAGAAAGGGCAGGAGCTGAAGCCGGCAGGAAGGGCAAGCGAATCACAGGGGTGGAATGAGCCCAGGAAAGTTAAATAGCACTGAGATCCCTGGCCTAGGAGGACATGCCAGGACAACCCAGAGGTTCCCTCAGCCGGCCGGCCGATAGGAAGAGGAACCCTGCCCAGCTCAGCCCCAGCCGTGCCCAGAAGCAGGACATTCAGCTTGCGTGAATGACAGCAAACCCGATCTGGAGGAAATGCAACAGCTGAGTCAACCTTCCATCATCTGCTAACCGGGTGGCTCAAAGAAATTGCATTAATGGGGAGTTTTTAATGG